TTGGGGGGGTGGCAGAATGTTAAAGGTGGGCTTCCTTTTAAGTTAAAAATTTTTTTTAATGAATTAAACTTACCAAGTGGATAGTTGGATAAAAGACATTCTAGAGACAGGTAACAGTTTATGTTAAGAGGGTAAAAAATAGGGGTGAGGGCTGTGGCTCAGTGGTAGAGCGCTTGAAGCTTTGGGTTTGATCCTCAGCACCACATAAAAATAAGTAAATAAAGTAAAGGTATTGTCCACCTACAACTAAAAATTTTAAAAATAAAAAAGATAGGGGCTGTGGCTCTAGCTCAGTAGTAGAGCACTTGCCTAGCATGTGTGAGGCATTGGGTTCGATTCTCAGCACCACATAGAAATAAATAAATAATAAGTAAATAAAATAAAGGTCCACCGACAACTAAAAAATATTTTAAAAAAGAGAGATGTATAAAATAATTGCATGGTATGGTTGAGAAACTACAAGAAAGCTGGCATTTTTGGAGCAAGGCCATATTACTTTAGTATAGTTACACACACACACACTTTTACATGCACACCCTCTAAACCTCTTCTTTGCTTCAGCAGTTTGGGACTGAGCATGTGGTGCTAAAGCTAATCAGTCCACGTCTAATTGGAAGGCAGAATGAGACTGGAGAAAAAGAATTTTCCTTGTCACTTGCAAATTGTGAATGGGAACAGATGTAAGAATTAAGATTAGAGAAATAGATAGTACCTCCCAAGTTTCTTTCAATGATCAAAATCAAATGTGGTGTTCATTTTCGATTTTTGGAAGTTTTGTTCCAAAAAGATCTGAAAGTTACTTAAGCTGGAGCTGTATTTCTATCTGGATTTGGGCAAACTGAAAAAAAAATTGATGTAGCTAATCAGCTATGGCTTTGATGAAATGTATTCACACACAGACAATCACCAGGCCCCATCCTGGAAGCCAATCATTTCAGAACATGTTTTTTCAAGATGTCAGTTTGTTTTAATAGTAGGTTGTTATACCCAAACTACCATATTCTTGGCTTGCTTTCTTTCTTTCTTTTTGCTCTCTTTCTTCTTTTTCGTTTGCAAAAAGCAGTAACTTAAACCATAGGGGGAAAAAAAAATCACATAACTGCTTTTCACCATTTAAAAGAAAACCTCTCCATTTACATGTGTTTTGAACTAAAATCTCTTAAAACGTGAAGATTTCATGAGAATAAAAAAAATCTTTAAAAAAAATAGAATCTGTTAGAATCTCACGTTGTCATTCTTATGTTCCTGCAGATAAAGACGATGTCATTATTTCCATTATACTTACCTCTTAATTTTCAGAGCTTATTAGCCCTGCTGTAAAAACTTGTTCCAGTTGAAATTTGGCAAGCTGACAAGGCTGCATGCCAGAAGTAATTTACTATCCAGTATGGTTTGCGAAGTAAAAGAAGCTATAAATAATAGAAAAAGAAATGAAAAGTTACTGGTTCCAAATATTTTAATGTGTGTAATGTGTGTCACCTCAAACTTTTCAGCTTTTGTTGTTGGCAATGGGAGATAACATGAAAGGTTTGAAAAGTACAGATGCTTTGCATTCCCATCAAACTGAGGGCTCTGATGTTCTTAGGCATCAAAGACCAGTCTGTGTCTATCACTTCTGCTCTGACTTTGAAGTATACCAGGGCTCTCTGTGTGGGAGAAGCAGGCAGGGGACTTCGAACAAGGCAGGGGGATGGGATTCCAGGTGCTTTACCACTCATTATTGCTGAAATTAGGTATTTCCCTTTATCAAATAACAATAATAGTGGGGGAAAAAAAGAGAAGCATTTTTTAACTACTGAGCTGTCTGTGAATTTAATCTTCAGATGTGACAATGTGAATATTCCAAGGAAAAGTTCAAGTTTACTTTGAAGTTTATGTTTAAGTACTTTGAAGGCAAGAATGAAGTTTTAACTTGGTTTGCAAACATCTGGTTAGTGTTCCTCTGGCAGACTCCTTAAGAGATTTTCTCAGAGCCCAGGCGTGGTGGCATGCGCCTGTAATCCCAGTGGCTCTGGAGGCTGAGACAGGAGGATCAAAGCCAGCCTCAGTGAGACTGGGTCTCTAGGTAAAATACAAAATAGGGCTGGGGAGGTGGCTCAGTGAGTGCCCCTGATTCAATTCTTGGTACCAAAGAAAAAATTTTTTTAAAAAAGAGAGATTTTCTCAGGACCCTAACTGAGAGCCCTCTGCAGTTTTCCCACTGGCTCATCACATCAGAATGGGGGCCAAGTGTTCCTCTAAGCCTTAGGATGATCAGGATCCAACATATTGGGATTAATCTTACCTGATAATCTGGGGGAAAAAATCATACGAATTTATTTTAAAACAAATACTAATATATTGTGGGTTAGAGCACCAAATTCACGTGAACTCTTTTAGAGAGGGGAAGTACTGCTCATTTATTGCAATATTTCTGACTTTGCCACACACATAAGAATAATAAATTGGAGCTCTTGAAGAGAATGATATATTTAGAGTCTGGTAATTAACTTTTACTTCTTATTTAAGGTATGACTTTCATAAAGTGTACAAATCCTAAGTGTATACCTCAGTGGGTAGATTTTTACACATGTATACATCCATGTGATGGTCACCTAGATCAAGTACAGACCATTCCCAGATGCAGAAAGCTTCCCAGTGCTCCCTCCTGGTCAGTACCACCTTACTAATCTGACATCTTTGCTGAATTTTAAAGATAAAATATAAGACTAAAACAAACAAACAAATTTTCTGAGGGACATCCATTGTGCAAATGGTTTCCTCTGCTGTCTTGGGCTTTCTCTAGCAGGTTGTTTTTTTTTTTTTTTTGAGTGCTGAGGATGGAACCCAGGTCCTAGAGCACACTAAGAACTCTCTACCACTGACCTAGACCAGCAGCCCTTAGTAGGTACTTTTTACTTCTTCATGAGCTCCTTGTGTTGATATTTTAAAATATCTGTGTAATGTGATTAGGAGGGTTAATAAATAAAGAACTTAGAGCACATAGTAGCTAGGCATATAGTAAGCCCTTGAGAAGTGGTAACTATTATTATGAGATGAAGAAGTGAAAAGGAAGTTTGCTATTTCCACTATAATTCTTAGAGCAATATAAACATAAAAGCTAAATTTCAAATAAGGGAGGTGAGTATTTATAGTTAGGTTGGCTTAAAAATCATAGTTAGCCAAGTGCAGTGGCCCACACCTGTAATTCCAGCTACTCAAGAGGCTGAGGCAGGAGAATTGCAAGTTGAAGACCAGTCTCCAAGAGTTAAGCCAGCCTGTCTCAAAATAAAAAATAAGGACTGGGGATGTATGTAGTTCAGTGCTAAGTTGCCCAATACCTTAAACAAAACAAAACATAGTTAACTTCTTAAGGTCGCTATCAAATTTGCCTTGAAATGAAAGATTACAATTTGATAGAGATTGCAATCTTCCTTGCACTTAAAGAAACTTTGTAAGTGCCTTTTCTTATTCTCATACATTTTTTATTTAGTAATTATTATATGCTAGACATTGCTCTATCATTTCCAGTGAGGAAAATAGGGGGAAAATCATTTAACTTACTATGTAGTTTATCCCAACTCCTACTGTTAACAGGGAACCCAGAGATTTTACTATTTCAAAAACATTGCCTCTTGGTCTTTTTAATTTTTTTTTCTTTTAATGGGGACTGCACCCAGGGATACTTTACTGGTGAGCTACCTCCCCATCCCTTTTTATTTTTTGACAAAGCCTCCCTAAATTGTCCAGGCCAGTCTTTTTTTTTTTTTTTAAATAAAGTTGTCAATAGACCTTTATTTTATTTATATGCAGCGCTGAGAATGGAACCCAATGCCTCACTCATGCTAGGCAAGCTTTCTACCATTGTGCTACAACTCCAGCCCTAAGGGCAGGCTTGAACTTGCAATCCTCCCCTCTCAGGGCCTCCCCAGTTGCTGGGATTACAGGTGTGAACCACCTATGGCTGGCTGCATCTTTGTTTTTCACCCATAATTCCTTTAATTTCCCTCAAATATTACAACTGAATTAAGAAACCATGAAGCCCAAGCCAACCTTTGTCTCATTTCTGAGACCAGGGGGTAAAATGTGAAATGAAAAAAAGGAAGGAACCTGGTTAATTGCTAAATCTATTCCCCTTTCATAATTCACATAAGATCAAGGTACTAATGCGAATGTTGAAATAAACAGGTTTAGCAAGAATTCCTGCTTTTTTTTTTTAACATCTTCCAGAACTTAAAAAGAATTAAGCCATGCAGTTATTATTATTATTTTTAGGTTTAGTAATTACACCAACAATATGGCTTCCAAGCTGGGTTGCCTGATAGTTTTCTTAGAAATGCTAAGTTGCTGGGGCGGTGGTGTGAGGCGGGTCTGTGTCTCAATACCAAAACCTCCTTTCCTAAAACAAATTATAGTGTCTGATCTACGCAGGGTCACGTGTTTTAAAAGATCGTGTCTACAGAGCTAAGATATTTAAATAACACATTTCTTTCCTTTTTAATCACCCAGTCGGATTCTAATTGGCACGGGAGAACCCAGTGTAATAACTGTTATCACACTATTTTACAATCTAGCAGAAAGCTAGGACTAAGTCTTTTGGGTGGCGGGGTCAGCCTTAGCAGCCCCTACGATTTCCATGACTGATTTTTTTGAAATGTTTACGTCCTTTACATAATATCTTCCTCTATGAGCTTTTTTTAAAATTATTTTTCAGGACCTCGGTGTTGGGAAGTAGGGCCATGGGACCGGAGCACGTTAAAACCAGACAATATCCTGCACCCGCGGGGCTGTCGCCAGGTAAATCACTCAGACCCGGAGGCGCTTTTTTCAATCCGTGCCGGAGTCTGGCTGCGCGCGCATTGGGTCCCACCTCCAGCCTCGCCCCGCCCCTATGCTTGAGTCCGGCCCAAGACCGCGGGGTCTCTCGCTGCAATTCCACCGTAGGCCACAAGGGGGCGACAGCGGCCGCAAGAGCCGAAGGAGTTTTTCCGACGGCGGAAGCGGAAGAGGCGGGACGTAGGGAGCACGTTTTGTCAGTACGTGCGGGCTTTAAGGTTGGGACTGGAGACTAGAAGGTGGGCGCTTCCTGCGCCTGTTGCCTGCTGAGCTTCTCCTGCGGGGCCGTACGGTGCAGACCTCATGGCGGAGATAATCCAGGAACGCATAGAAGATCGAATCCCGGAATTGGAACAGCTGGAGCGCGTTGGACTATTCAGTCGTGCGGAGATTAAGTGAGCGGGGTGGGAAAGGGAAGGGCTGGAGCGGGCTGAGGGGAGGTTGGGCGTGCGTGTGGCCCCGGCCGGGCTGGAGATGCTTTGGTTGTGTTTATTTTTCCTAACGTGGTATAAACCCAGTGCCGGGCTTTGGGGATGACCAGAATGAAATTCTTATCCTTTACAAGGTGTCCATTTACCCATCGGATATACTGACAGCCCCTCATGGAGCAGGGTTTTGGGGATATAAAGGTGATAAACCGGAATCCCTATCCACCAGGAGCTAACAAGGCACTTTGGATGGTGGGAGAATTTCAGGCAAATTAAACATTTCGGTTACAGTTTAAATCGGTGTGTAGAATGTACTTCTGTAGAGATGTCAGCAGAATGCTGCAAGAGCCCGAGAGTGGAAGACTTGGCAGAGGGGGATCATTTGATTTCGTTTCCTATGTACTCCCAATCCTAGCCACAGCGCCTGACACACAGGTTGGCATTCAATAATCTGTCAATCACTTTTAGTAGTTTTAGTGGTTTTCCGTGACTATTTCTTTGGTGGACAATGACTCTGGATGCAGTCATGTGACTGGGAGTCTAAAAGTATTTGTTAATGAAACAGAATATAGCATTGGGGACTCTTAGTGTTCATTAAATGTTATTATTACTAAACGTAAGTATTCTGCACACCTTGCATTAAATTTTCCTAATATACACATGTTGTACATTTAGTCCTTAACTAAGGAATGGTGATTCTTCTCCCACAGATCCGTAATAGTAATAAGCCTTTTTAGATAGAGACAATACAGGTTTCTAAAAAAATTTTACGCATTGAACATATAGGAATAAGAGAATTTTAGTATAGACATTTGATTATTATAAAAACCTAAGTGTGGAGGGCTAGGATATAGCTTCTTGGCAGAATCCTTGCCTAGCATGTGTAAGCCCCTGGGTTTAATTCTGGTCTGCAAGAAATATACACCTAATAACCTTGATTTAGAGGAAAATAAGTCTTTATTAATACTATATGTAAATAGCATAAAACACTTAACATTAATTTTGCTTGTAGGAATATCAAATACCCTGGCAATCAATTATGATGGCTATCCTGAAAATTTTAAAATATATCCTAATCTTAGAAATACAGAAGTAATTGTGTAAGATATTATTTGCCTGTGAAAGAAAATTATATATGGGAATTATGTTTTGGTTATTATGTGTCTTAAATATATCCAAGGTAATTAAAAAAATTCTTTTAAAGCTAAAGTTACTTAAGTTTTATTTTTTTCAAGTGTTGCAGTTTAAATAATTTTCTCTTCAGGGCTATCATTAAGAAGGCTTCTGATCTAGAATACAAAATACAGCGAAGAGCCCTTTTTAAGGAAGACTTTATCAATTATATTCAAGTAAGTGAATAATTTCCTTATTTTTAAATCTCCTTACAAATTTTAAGTCAATTAGAGAATGGTGAGATTAACATTAGTTTTTTGCCAAATTCCAGAATTGCAATTAGATCCATATTTTTGAACAGGATTAGAGGTGATTATTGGGAATTGTATCATCTACTGAGGCTTTAGTCCTAGTGAAACTGAATTTTTTTTCCTCTCTCTTTCTTTCTATTGAGTTAGTAGATCGAGACAATGTGTATCTGGATTTCAGCAAGAGATCTATCTCTTAGCAGGCAAGACAGGGATGTGAATGTGATGATAGTGGATAGCCAGAAAGTCTAAGTATGTCAATTTGTAAAGAAGTATGCGGCAAGATTCTTTTTTTTTTTTGGTACTTGGGATTGAACCTAGGGGCATTCTACCACTGATGCACATTGCCAGCCCTTTTTATTTTTTATTTTGAGACAGGAACTTCTTCCTTCCCTTCCTCCCTTTCTTTCTTTCTTGGTACCACGAATTGAACTCAGGGACACTTAACCACCTAGAGCTATATTCCAGCCATTTTTTATTTTTTATTTTGAGACAGGGTCTTGCTGAGATGCTGAGGCTGGCTTTGAACTTGTGATCCTCCTGCCTTAGCCTCCTGAGGTATTGGGAATACAGGCATGTGCCACTGTGCCCAGTGATTACTTCCATTTTCTAAATAGGTAGAAAGTTTGAAGATAAGACATATAGGCCAAATCACTTTTTAGATGGGGGAGAATAGCTGTTATGTCAGATGACAGAATCAGGATTCAGAAAGAATAAATAAGACAAAATGTTTATTTTGGTGTAATGGTGAACACCTGGGATCCCAGAAACTCAGGAGGCTGAGGCAGGAGGATCACAAGTTCAAGGCCAGGGCTGGGGATGTGGCTCAAGCGGTAGCGTGCTCGCCTGGCATGCGTGCAGCCCGGGTTCAATCCTCAGCACCACATACAAACAAAGATGTTGTGTCCGCCGAGAACTAGAAAATAAATATTAAAATTCTCTCTCTCTCCCTCTCTCTCTCTCTCCCCTCCCTCTCTCTTTAAAAAAAAAAAAATAAATAAATGAACAAGTTCAAGGCCAGCCTGGGAAATTCAGTGAGACCCTGCCTCAAAATAAATAAAAAAAATAAATGACAAAGAACTGGGGATGTAGCTCAGTGGTAGAGCACTCCTGGGTTCAATCCCCAGAACCACACACAAGAACGATGAAATGTTATAGGACTTAAAAATTTGAGATTGAAGGGCTGGGGTTGTGGCTCAGAGGAAGAGCGCTAGCCTAGCATGCATGCAGCACTGGGTTCAATTCTCTGCACCACATAAAAATAAAATAAAGATATTGTGTCCACCTAAAACTAAAAAATAAATATTAAAAAAAATTGAGATTGATTACAAAAAAACAAATAGTTGAACAAATACTACATGAGACTTAGCTGAGAATGTTGTTTTGTTTTGGAGTGGTCCTAGGGTTTGTAGTACATTGCTAATTCAGAATAAGCCATGGGGGCTGGGAATGTTGCCCAGTAGTAAGTGAATTTGTGTAGCATGCACACAAGGCCCTAGGTTTGATCACTAGTAGTGTCCCCCAAAAAAGTCAAGAGCATATTGTATCAACACTATAACTGAACAAGATTGACAAAAATAGTGTGCTGGGTAAAATTGCAAAGGACATTGGCAGGTAGGCACTGAAAACATGTTGACTTGAAAGATAATGTGTTGTGCTAATCAATCCATATCTGTAGTATTGTATTAGACTCAAGACTACGTTTTTTAAATTATTTTTTATTTTTAAAATATTTGTTTTTTAGCTTTAGGTGGACACAATATCTTTAATTTTATTTTTATGTGGTGCTGAGGATTGAACCCAGTGCCTCACGCATGCCAGGCAAGTGCGCTACTACTTGAGCCATATCCCCAGCCTCAAGACTACATTTTAAGAAGGACTCTTAAAGAGGTTGGTTCAAAGGCAACAAATTTGGAAACCTTGTTATTGGAGCAGTCATTGAAAGCACTAGAGATGCTTGAGGAGATATGTGACAAATGATCTCACTCTTTAAATACTTGAGCTACCTGTGGATTAGTTGGATTAGTTTCAGAGAGTATAACTGAAATAAGCACATTAAAAAGTATACACACATACATATGTACCTACCTGCACATTCTTTTATATATATTTTTTCTTGCCTGCACACAGTTGTATAAATTTGTAAGTGACATTTATTTGTTTTATTTTTTGGTATTGGGGATTGAACCCAGCAATACTTTACCACTGAGCTACATTCCCCCCCTTTTTAAAAAATTTCTAATTGTAGATGGATACAATACCTTTATTTATTTTTATATTTATTTTATTTTTATTTATTTATTTTTATGAGGATTGAACCCAGTGCCTCACCCATGCTAGGTAAACACTCTACCACTGAACCACAAATGCATCCCTTACCCCTTTTATTTTTTGAGACAGGGTCTTGCTATGTTGCTTAGGGCCTCCCTAAATTGTTGAGTTTGGCCTTGAACTTGCAATCCTCCTGCTTTAGCCTCCCAAGTCACTGGGATTACAGGTATGCGCCATTGTGGCTGGTACAAATGGCATTTTTAAATCAATGAAGTTTAAGTTTCAATTAGATCTTGTCTTCACATACCTGAAAATAAATTCCTGATGAATTGAAAGTTTTTTTTTTAAAGAGAGAGAATTTTTAAAATATTTATTTATTTATTTTTTAGTTTTTTGGCGGACACATCTTTATTTGTATGTGGTGCTGAGGATTGAACCCAGATCCGTGCACATGCCAGTGGTAGGCGAGCGCGCTACCACTTGAGCCACATCCTCAGCCCGAATTGAAAGTTTTAATGTGGGAGAAACTTTTAAGTATTTTATAAAATCTATGAAAGAATGAGTTCAGGTAGGGAAAGATAAAATAGAGGAGACTGTGAAAGCACAACTCATTTTCAGAGGAGATGTTAAAAACAATAATAATAGTCTATGCAAAAAATATACCACAATTAATGTGAAAAGGTAAGCCACAAAGTGGGAGAAAATATTCATAAGACATATAGTAAGAATGACATATGTACATGTGAATAACTACAAATCAAGAAGAAAGTAACATGGGCTGGGGCTGTGGCTCAGTGGTAGAGCACTCTCCTAGCATGTGTGAGGTGCTGGTTTTGATCCTCAGCACCACTTAAAAATAAATAAATAGAATAAAGGTATTGTGTCCAACTACAACTAAAGAGAAAAAAAGAGAAAGTAACAAAGGACCACAAAGAAAAGTGGGCAGATCTTGTTAACATGCAATTCCCAAAGGGAGAACATCATTTCATAATTCAACTTAGGAAACAATGCAAGCCTCATTAGTAATCAGGTAAATAAATTAAGACCATGCATAGTCTGCCTTATGTTCATCACAATAGTAAACATTTTAAAAATAATTGGTACAATCCCTTTTGAGTGCAGGTTTTAATGATCCATAAAATTGAAATGCATATACCTGTGATCCAGCAATTTCATTTATTCATTTATAGAGTAGTAAATATTGAGGGCCTGCTATGTACATGGCACTGATCCAGTCCAGTGGTGTACAGGGAATCACTTTAAATGGAGAAAAGTCATTGCCTCATGATTGCATGTTAGTGTTGGTAGATAGTGTATACTCTGGAGAAAAGTTCCTGTATTCATAAGAAGATATGTACAAGAATATAAATAGCAGCTTTTTGTAATAGAGAAAAATTAGAGGGCTGGGGACATAGCTCAGTTGGTAGAGTGCTTACCTTTCATGCACAAGGCCCTGGGTTCAATCCCCAGCACCACAAAAAAAAAAAAAAAAAAAAAAAAAAATTAGAAACAGATTATGGAACAGCAAGAAAAAAGGCAAATTCCACATTGAACATGGAATATTATATAACATGACCTTGAATTTTGGGTTTTTACAAGGATATATCTGAAGTCATTTTGAGGTCTGGTCTCAGTGGTAGACAGCTTGGCTGGATTCTATCTTCACCACATGTTCATGAGCACACACACACATAAGTCATGTTGAAAAAAATATGGAGTGATGAATGTAGCGTAATATCACTTATAGACAATTAAAGCATTATAGCTGGGTGCCATGGCACACACCTGTAATCTCAGTGATTTGGGAGGCTGAGGCAAGAGAATGACAAGTTTGAAACCAGCTTGAGCAACTTAGCAAGACTCTGTATTAAAATAAAAATGGCTGGGAAATACATCATTGGTAAAATGCCTCCAAGTTCAGTTCCTAGTATCCAAAAAAAAAGCATTATAATGAAGTTCAGGATCATTCTTGGAAGTGATAAACTCAGGATAGTTGCTAGTTCTGGAGAGTGAGAATGGAATCAAAGATTAGTACATAGGGGGCTTTATGTTTATTTGAAATGTTCTATTTCTTTTTTGGTACTGGGGATTGAATCCAGGGACCCTTTACCCCTGAGCCACATCCCCAGCCCTTTTTATTTTTTATTTTGAGATAGGGTTTTACTAAGTTGCTTATGGCCTTGCTAAATTGCTGAGACTGGCTTTAAACTTGTGATCCTCCTTCCTCAGCCTCCTGAGCTTTTGGGATTATAGGCATGCACCACTATTCCCAGTTGAAACATTTTATTTTTGAAGAGTACTTGAAGCAAATATAGGCTTTGGTGTTACTTTGTGATAGTTGCATGGGATTTTTTGTGCTTGAAATATTTTTCTCAAAGTTTTTTTTTTCCCCCTCTTTTGGAATTTGAATATAGTGTCTCACTCAGGCTAGGCAAGTGTTCTACCACTGAGCTATATCCCTAGCTCCAGGTAAAACAGTTTTTAAATGAACTTGCAATTTTGTGAGATTTCTGTCTCTAGTATTTTTCCAGTTGTGGCTTAGAGAGTGATTATATAGTAGTGCTTTTCTGAGATCTTTGGGATTTGTAAGTGGTATTTTAGAGGTGGTGGTTGGAGAAGCCCATTAGGCTTGTCACACCTGTTTCAGCTAGTACAACCTCTTTATCTGCTTTACTTATGTGTCAGCTCAGACTTACAAGTGGTTTTTTTTTTTTTTTTGAAGTATTGGGAATTTGCCCAGAGGTGCTAAATGGGCTACATTCTCCAGCTTTTTTAATTTTTTAAATTTTGAGACAGTATCTCACTAAGTTGGTCTCGAACTTGTGATCCTCCCTGTCTCAGCCTCCCAAGTAATTGGGATTACACCACACCTGTGAAGAATTCATTTTAATAAAGTTAAATGAATTTTCAGTGAATTATAGACATTTTATTACAAATTGTTTTCATTGATAGCAAAATTTTTCTATTTTACATTTTCGTATTTGATATTTTATCTTTCATAATTTTAATGTATTTCCTATATTTAAAAGGTTATAATTTTTTTCTCCTTTTTTTGTGTATGTTTTCTTTCCCAGTATGAAATTAATCTTTTGGAATTGATCCAGAGAAGAAGAACAGTAAGTTGATAATTTTTTTGAAATTGGAAAAAATACAGAATTAAGTAGTGTGGCTGCTTAGCTAGAGCTTATGTTTGGGCGACAGGTAATGTTGATAAAATTGTTTAATGTGCCTGGACTAAACTGGATATTTGTAATTATTTGCTTTTTTCACTAATACTGTTAAATGCTCAAGTAGTAATGCTACTTTGTAAATGTGAGTAAACTGAAGCTTTGTTTTTTATGTCCCCTTTCAGCGCATTAAATATTCATTTAAGAAGGATGAGATTGAGCATTCTATTGTTCACCGGATACAAGGTGTCTTCCGACGTGCTTCAGCAAAGTGGAAAGTATGTGATAAATGCATCTGTGACTCTAAGAGCTTTGAAGATGTGTATTATACCTGAGTTGAATATTCCAATGCATTGTTCTCCAGTCTTTACTTGGGTGTCCTTTTTTGCGGGGGAGGTACCAGGGATTGAACCAAGGGGCACTTGGCCACTGAGCCACATCCCCAGCCCTGTTTTGTATTTGATTTAGAGACAAGGTCTCGCTGAGTTGCTTAGCACCTTGCTTTTTGCTAAGGCTGACTTTGAACTCGCCATCCTCCTGTCTCAGCCTTCTGAGCCACTGGGATTACAGGTGTGTGCAACTGTGTCCAACTTAACTTGAGTGTCTTAATATTTATTCTAATGATGGTGGTGGTGGTGGTATTATTATTATTATTATTATTATTATTATTATTATTATTATTTTGTGGTGCTGAGGATTGAACCCAGGGCCTCGTGCTTGTGAGGCAAGCACTATTCAACTGAGCTATATCCCCAGCCCTCTAATGATGGTATTACTGATGGAAGCATTCTCAGCTGGGTGCACTGGCACATGCCTATAATCCCAGTGACTCGGAGTGTAAGACAGGAGGATCACGAGTTCAAAGGCCAGCCTCAGCAATGTAGTGAGGCCCTAAGCAACTCAGCGAGACCCTGTCTCAAAATAAAACATAAAAAAGATCTGGGGACGTGACTCAGTGGTTAAGCACCTCTGGGTTCAATTCCTGGTACCAAAAAATAGGGAAAGAAATTGATCTCTTAAACCTTCTTTTGATACTGGGGATTGAACCCAGGGTCACTTTAAGCTACATCCTTAACCCATTTTATTGTTTATTTTGAGACAGGGTTTTACTAAGTTGCTGAGAGTAGCCTCAACTTGTGGTCCCATCTCTACCTCCTGAGTTGCTGGGGTTATTGGTGTGTGCAACTGTGCGGGTCTTTATACCTTCTTGTTTTTCTTTGAGGAAGGTGCTAAAAACAGTGTTATTTGATACATTAAAAATGATAAAATTACCTGGGAGATGTTTGGATGTATTTCTTAAGTGAAGAGCATTGAAGTCGTGGAGGTGGAAGATAAATGATTAGGTGCTGGCTGGAGCTCAGTAACTTGATATTCTTCAAGTTCGGCCTGGGAATGGGCATGTTTCATTGGAAGTACTTTGGATTCCTGGGAATGATAAACTTTGTATTTCTATACTTGAGGCCATTTCAGAACTGCATGGAACAAATTGGATGGACAACTTGTTTTGTTTTGGAGCATGATGGATGGAAGGGGAGAATCTCACTCAATTATGGTTAAGAAATCCAAGACCTCAGTGAGGGAAGAGTTTCAAGGACTGAAGAATGTGCTTAATACATTGGATCTTCTGAAATTCTCCTGTTTCCAATAAAGTTAATTATCGCAAAAATGTATCATATATAAAGATCAAGGCAGCTTACTGCATTGCTTTTCTTGTAGGATGATGTTCAACTTTGGCTGTCCTATGTTGTGTTTTGTAAGAAATGGGTGAGTAAAGCAAAGTCTTGCTCCTCTTTTACTTTCTATTTGTCTACCTTTTAAACTTCTTACTTATTACTGAACTCCATATTTTCCCCAAAGGTGTAGGATTAACAAATGGGAAAAGAACCCCAGAAGGCTGAAGCTGTACTTCATTGTAACTTTTATATATCTGAATGCCTATTTAATTTGCTTCCATATCAGTTGAAAAAAATAGTTTTTGTGCATATTCACAAAAACCTTAAAACATTATAAATTTAGAATGTGTATGTTTAGTAGTTCAAGAAGAAAATGAATGTGTCTTTACTTATTGATATGTCCCTAGCAAGATCTTGCCCTATTAAATTTATAGTTGGTAAGGGTTCAGCAGATACTGTTTATAGATTAATAGTGATGATATCTCTGTGCAGGAAATAGAAAAATTTCTTCCTCTTTTTACAGGCTACCAAAGCTCAACTTAGCAAGGTATTCTCTGCCATGTTGGCTATTCATTCAAATAAGCCAGGTATGGTGAAGTCCTTCTTGTGTTCTTTTTCTGTATTTTATTTAGACTAAAGTCATTTTGGAACTTACTGTGCTTGATGAACTTAAGAGAAATTATCTTGAGGACTTAAGCTTATTAGGCAATTGGCTGCAGCAGTTTTTATTCCTGAAGCTGCCTCTTAGTTTATCTCTGGCTACTGTGTACTGATAGTTACTATACCAGGTGTTCTATCTGTGGACAGGAAGGATTATGTTTCTTTTTAGTTGATGGAAAATAAAATCTGTACAATCCTTTGAGGGACATTTAATTTGGAGGCAGTGAAATGTGAGGGATTTCAGTTTAAAGGGGAAAATATTAACACAGATTTTAGAATGTTGACTGGCACAGAGTAGGTACTCATGTTTTATAAGAGAAAGACTTTTCTTGTGAGTAAGGAGTGGATGGTGTGTTATTCTGTACTGGAGGTACTCCAGTACCAGTTCTCAGGGTATTAGGCTCAAGCAGACTGCACAATAAGGCTACATTTGTCACCTGCTTGCTCAGAGACAGAAGACAACTTGTGGCATTTTTTTTCAGCAAAGTGCTCTTATCAGTTGGGAGGCCAGTCTCTGGTCCCCAAAGTGAGAGTTCATTTGTAAGGTGAAGAGACCATAGGAGTGGGTAGAAGAACTTCCTAAGTGGAAGTACTAAAGATGAGATCCTAGGACGGTCCATGCTCAATTTCAGGAGTCACATGCTCAAGAAATCTCAAAGCAATGGCTCGCCACCATTTGTGGCCTTCCTACAAAGTCCATATGGATAGCAGCCATGGGTCATTTTTTATCAGGAGCAGCCTTGCTTGGTATGATGGTTAACCTTTATTAAATCTGTAGGGAAATAGTTGGAGTAGTAACTTGGGGTTAATTTCCCATGAAGAAAAACAACATTTTTTAAAAAAAATTATGTTCTATTCTAAATGTAGAGAAGAGTACAAAATATATTAATTTGTTGATTCTAAAATACGAATTTTTTCCCAACTTTTAACACCTTTAAAATTAGTGACTTACAACAATCGTAGCTTTAGAGCTGATTAAATATGGTCATAGGCCCTTATGTATCCCACATCCAGGATGAATATATTAGCATTTACCTCTATTTGCTTAGAATACTTTTTCTAATTTTGTTTAAATATTTATTTTTGCAGTACTTGGGACTGAACTCAAGAGCACGCTACCATTGAGCTATATATTTCCAGTTCTTTTTATTTTCTATTATGAGACAAACTCTTGCAAGGTTGCCCAAGCTGGCTTCTAAATTGTAATCATTCTTCCTCAGTCTCCTGAGTAGCTGGGATTACTGGCATGTGCCATACTGTCTGGCTATTCTTTCTAACTTTAGATAGAACAACAAAACTTTGCAGTTAGAAATTCCCTCTGTTTTTGCCTTTTCCTTTTTGGTAAGATTAAAAAATTTTTTTTCATTTGAGTATTCAGTTTGGAGCACTGGTAGTTTCTTGCCTAACTTGATTAATTCACTGAAATGGAAGTCTGGTGTTTTATCATTTATAGCTTTGTGGATTATGGCGGCCAAATGGGAAATGGAAGATCGCTTATCTTCTGAAAGTGCCAGGCAACTGTTTCTTCGGGCTCTGCGCTTTCATCCAGAGTGTCCAAAACTCTATCAAGAAGTAAGTGTGGGGCTGGGGATGTGGCTCAAGTGGTAGCACGTTTGCCTAGCATGCGTGAGGCACTGGGTTCGATTCTCAGCACCACATTAAAAATAAATAAATAAAGAAAGAAAGAAAGAAAGAAAGATATTGTGTCCACCTAAAACTAAAAAAAGTAAATATTAAAAAAAAAAAAGGTAAATGTGTGTGTACATAGAGTGAGAGTGATGTCTCAACATGACTGATTGAGGGCAAATACTATTTAAAAAAAATGGTACATTTTCTCTTTCATTTTCCCTATTGTTGGGCATTTAGATTGTTCCAGTATTTGCTCTTAACCTTTGTATGTGAAAATACAAAGATTTTTTTCCTTATAATTTTTTTTTTTTGTACCAGGGATTGAACGAACCCAAGGATGCTTAAGCACTGAGCCACATCCCTATCCCTTTTTGTATTTTATTTAGAGACAGGGTCTCACTGAGTTGTCCAGGGCCTCCATAAATTACGAAGGCTGGCTTTGAACTCATGATCCTCCTGCCTCAGCCTCCCTAGCTGCTGGGTTTACAGGCGTGGGCCCCTGTGCCCATCATTTCCTTATGATTTATTCCTAGAAGCAGAATTACTGACTTAAAAGGTTAAACATAATAATTAAAAAAAACCCTTCATTTTTTAATGTCTTATAAAATTTCAAGTATTCAAAAATTGGCACAAATTTTTTTAGTAGATGTTAATCATGCATTAATTTATCTTCATAGACCTATAACGATACCATGACTTTTATAGAGTTTGATATTACATATTTGTCATTGATTTTTTTTTTTTTTTGGTGGTACTAGAGATTGAACCCAGCAGTGCTTTACACTGACCGTTTGTGGTTTTTATTTTGAGATTGGGTCTTGTTAAGTTGCCTAGACTGGCTTTGAATTTGCTGATTGAAGTGGACCTCAAACTTAGCATTCTCCTGCTTTATCCTCCCAAGTTGCTGGGATTATAGGCATGTATCAGTTTACCATTAATTTTGTTTTTTTATGTGTGTGCTGGGGATTGAACCCAGGGTCTTGTGCATGCGAGGCAAGCACTCTACCAACTGAGCTATATCCCCAGCCTATTACCATTAATTTTATTTTGAAATAATTTTAGGTTCACTAGAAGACACAAAGGTAATACAATGATGTACTGTGTACACTTCACCTAATTCCTCCCAGTAGTTACATTTTATAAAACTGTAGTACAACACAAAACTAAGAAATTTGTCCTTTATCATTTTTTCATTTTGTTGATTTGTTTAATTCAGTTTTATTTATTGTTTTGTTTTTAAAATTTCACTTAGGGTATTCTATCTCCTGTTTGAGAAGACCGAGGAACCACATCAGACAGTGTTAGAATTTTTGCTTTATGTATCAAACAACTTAAATATTTGTGATGCTGGGGATTGAACCTGTGACCTTGCACATGCTAGGCAGGCATTTTAACATTGAGCCACGTCCCCATTACATAACCCATATTTTTACTCTTTCCATTTTTCTGTCTTCCTAATGTTCCAGAATCCTTTTTAAGCAATAATTTCTTCTATTTTGAGAGCTTTATGTTTTTTTATGATGGGTCTTCTAACATAGATTCTTAGTTTCACTTTATCTGAGAATGTCTTTTGATCTCTTTTGCTTTTTGTGTGTGTTTGTAGTGGGGATTGAACCCAGAGGCATTCTATCACTGAGTCCTATCCCCAGCCCTTTTTATTTTTTATGTTGAGACTGGGTCTTGCTAAATTACCAAGGCTGGCCTCTAGTTTTATAATTCTTCTGCTTCTGCCTCCCAAGTATGTACATTGTGTGCCCTAATTTTCCCTTTTTCCCCCTTGGTATTGGGCACTGAACCTAGAGGCACTTTACTACTGAATTATGCTATACCCCAGCATAGCCTTTTAAATTTATTTTGAGACAGGGTCTTACTAAATTGCTTAGGGCCTTGCTAGGTTTCTGAGGCTGACTTTGAACTTTTATTCCTCCTGTCTCAGCCTCCCTGGTTGCTGGGATTGTGGGTGTTCTCTACCATGCCTGGCTCTTTTTCCTTCTTCTTTTTTTTTTTTGGTACCAGCATTTATACTCTGACATGATCAAGCACTGAGCCACATCCCCAGCCCTTTTTTACGTTTTATTTAGAGACAGGGTTCTTGCTGAGTTGCTTAGAGCCTTGCTGAATTGCTGAGGCTGGCTCTGAACTCACAATCCTCCTGCCTCAGCCTCCTGAGCTGCTAGGATTACAGGCATGTGCCACTGTACCCAGCTCCCTTCTTTTTTGAATTATATTTTTGCCAGATATTTCTGGGGTAACACATCTTTTCTTGTAGCATTTGAAAATATTGTGTCACTTCTTCCTTTTGGCCTCCTTGTTTTCTGATGAGAAATCTGCCAGCAACTCTAGGATATTTAAGTTTTGTTTAGTAGACCTCTTCTGACACTGTTCTGCTTTTTTACTGTTAGATGATTGTGGAAGTCCAGTTTGAATTGCTTTTCTCTTTTAGGTAGGATGTCATATCTCTCACTGCTTTCAAGTTTTTTCTTTGTCATTATTTTTCATAGGTTTGATTATGGTGGGTTTTATCATGATTTACTTGGGTTCACCAACGGTTCTGTCACCTTCTTGAATCTATAGGTTTATGTTTTTTGCTGAATTTGGAAAATCATGAGGCACTTTTTTCTTTTTCTTATTTGGTGCTGGGGATTGAACACAGGACTCAGTAAAGTTATAACTGATGTTGTGGGATACTGTGCTGCCAGGCAAGTGCTCAACCACTGAGCTAAACCCCCAGCACCAAGTCATAATTAAAATTTTCAGCTTTACTCCTTTTTCTTTCCTCTGTAACTCCAATGACACATACGGGATCATTTATCATTGTCTCACCGGTTTCTGAGGCCCTGTTCATTGTTTTCAACCTATTTTCTCTGTTGTTCAGATTGGGTAATTTTTATAGTTATTTTCAGGATCACTGGTTCTTTCCTCTGTTTTGTTCATGTTGCTATTGAGTCCATTCACTGAGTTATTAGTTTCAGTTCTCAAATTTCTATTTGGTTCTTCTTTATGTTTTCTGTTTGCTGATATTTACTATTGTTTCAAATGTATTTATAATTACTCATTAAAGCATCTTTACTGATTTTAAATCCTTGTTGGATAATTCTAACATCTATGTCATCTCTGTTGTTGGTGTCTTTGGATTGTCTTCATTGAAGTTGTGATATTCCTGGTTTTTTTTATATATATATATATATATATATATATATATATATATATATATATATACACACACACACATATATATATATACACACACACACACATACACATATGTTTATTTGATTTATTTATTTAAATGTGGTTCTGAGGATTAAAACCAGTGCCTCACACATGCAAGGCAAACACCCTAACAACTGAGCTACAACCCTAGCCCCCTTCCTGCTTTTTTTAAAATATTTTTTTAATTGTAGACAGACACAATACCTTTATTTTATTTATTTATTTTTAAATGGTGCTGAGGATTGAACCTAGTGCTTCACGCATGTGAGGTGAGCTCTCTACCACTGAGCCACAACCCCAGCCCCTCCTGGTTCTTTTTATGATTGATTTTAGGCCTTTTGGTTATTTTATGAAACTCTGGGAGTTAAATTTTCTGGCTAGTAGAACTTTTTTCTTCTTGGTACTAGAAATTGAACCCTGGGGCACTTAACCATTGGGCTATATCCCCAGACCTTTTCTATTTTATTTAGAGACAGGGAGGGTCTCAGTGAGTTGCTTAGCACCTTACTTTTTTGCTGAAGCTGGCTTTGAACTCGTGATCCTCCTATCTCAACCTCCTGAGCAGCTGGGATTACAGGCATGTGCCACTGCTCCCGGATAGTAGAACTCTTTTGATACTATTCTGCCTATTTACTGCTAAATAGAGGAGAGGAAGACTGAAGAGGATAGAAGTCCAAATTCCTTACTTGGCTTCTGTTGACACTTTTCATATACATGGATGAAATCATAAGTAAAATTACTCATGGAAACCTTCAATATTAGATTACAAACTTATATTCTTCTCAACTGGTTAAGGACATTGAGTGTGTTTGTTGCTTCTTTTGACAATTTAGGGCTAGACTTTATGGTTTGTTTAATTGTGAAGTGATAACCAAGGATATAAAAGCATTTTTAAAGTTTTTGATTCATACCTCTAGATTGCTTTTAGAATAGCATAAAATAATATTTTCACCTTACCTTGTCAATGTTAGCTAGTTTGTTAACAAAGAAAAATATAATACTCCTTCTAAATTTTCCCACATCTGAAAATTATGCATAAAAACAAGGTGTATTATATATCTTGAATTTAAGAAAGTATCTTTAAAGATTTTCAGGCCATTATTTCTCTTCTGTAGTACTTCAGGATGGAGCTGATGCATGCTGAGAAACTGAGGAAGGAAAAACAAGAATTTGAAAAGGCTGACATGGATATGGTGAGATCCTACTGTATTGTCACTGAGTCTGTTTAAGAGATAGAACACTTGTAATATATTTTTCTTTCTAATTTAATGTTATTTTAAAACTTGAAAATGAATAAAAAGTTGGTTTAATTAAATGGGGTTAGTAATAAAAGAAATAAGATTTTCTGCTTTAAAGATAGATATTTAGGGGCTGAGATTGTGGCTTAGCGGTAGAGCGCTCGCCTAGCACAGGCGGGACCCGGGTTCAATCCTCAGCACCACATAAAATAAATAAATAAAGGCATTGTGTTGTGTAAATATAAAATAAAGATAGATATTTAGAGTAATTGAAGTTATAACTGATGTTATGGTCAAATGCTGTTCTTTAATGCTGTATGATTTTAGTAAGTGGTATATTAATGGGTTTAAGAAGCCTGAGAAAGATTGTGGAATGCGAGGTTTCTAGTTTCTTTTTTCTTTTTTTTTATGGTAGGTACTGGGGATTGAATTCAGGAGTGTACTACCACTTCTTAATTTTTATATTGATCCAAGGTCTAGCCAAGTTGCAGAGGCCAGCCTTGAACTTGCACTCTTCCTGCCTCAACCTCCTGAGTAGCTGGGAATACAGTCATGTGCCACCATGCCTACTTCTTTTTTTTTGCATTACAATTCTTAATACACATATATACCACAATTTTTCATATCTCTGTTTGAATATAAGGTGTGTTGACACCAAATTCAAATCTCTACATGTATTTTGTATAATGATGACTATCACATTCCACCATCCTTGCTAATCCCTTTCCCCCTCCCTTTCCCTCCCGCCCCTCTTCCCTATCTAGAAATAATCTTCCCATGTTCTTCCTCCTTACCCCACTTTGAGTCACCCCCCTTATATCAGAGAAAACATTCGGCATTTGTTTTTTGGGGATTGGCTAACTTCATTTTGCATTATCTTCAGTAACACCATCCATTTACCTGCAAATGCCATGATTTTCTTTTTTTAGTGCTGTATAATATTCTATTGTGTATAAATGCCACATTTTTTAATCCATTCATCCACTGAAGGACATCTAGGTTGGCTCCACAGTTAGCTATTGTGAATTGTGCTGCTATAAACATTGATGTGGCTGTGTCTCTGTAGTATGCTGTTTTTAGGTCCTTTGAGTATAGTCCGAGAAGAGGGATAGTTGGGTCAAAAGGTGGTTCCATTCCCAGATTTCCAAGGAATCTCCATACTGCTTTCCAAATTGGCTGCACCAATTTGCAGTCCCACCAGCAATGTATGAGTTTACCTTTTTTCCCACATCCTTGCCAACACTTATTGTTTGTCTTCATAATAGCTGCCATTCTGACTGGAGTGAGATGGTATCTTAGAGTAGTTTTGATTTGCATTTCTCTGTGCTAGAGATGATGAGCATTTTTTCATATATTTATTGATTGTGATTGTATATCAATCAATAAATACAGTCATGTGCCACCATGCCTACTTCTTCTTCTTTGTTTTTGCATTACAATTCTTAATACACATATATACCACCTCTTAGAAGTGTCTGTTCAGGTCCTTGGCCCATTTATTGATTGGATTATTTGTTTTGGGTTGCTCAGCTTGTTGAGTTCTTTATACCCTAGAGATAGTGCTCTATCTGATGTGTGAGGGGTAAAAATTTGCTCCCAGGATGTAAGCTCCCTTTTCACCTCACAGATTATTTTTTTTGCTGAGAAAAAAACTTTTTAGTTTGAATCCATCCCATTTGTTGATTCTTGGTTTTAATTCTTGCGCTATAGGAGTCTTATTAAGGAAGTTGGGGCCTAGTCCCACGTGATAAAGATCAGGACCTACTTTTTCTTCTATTAGACACAGAGTCTCTGGTTTAATTCCTAGATCCTTGATCCATTTTGAGTTAACTTTTATGCATGTTGAGAGATAGGGATTCAATTTCATTTTGTTACATATGGATTTCCAGTTTTCCCAGCACCATTTGTTGAAGATGCTATCCTTTCTCCAGTGCATGCTTTTGGCACCTTTGTCTAATATAAGATAGTTGTGATTTTGTGGGTTACTCTCTGTGTCTTCTATTCTGTACCATAGGTCTACCAGCCTGTTTTGGTGCCAGTACCATGCTATTTTTGTTACTATTTCTCTGTAGTATAGTTTAAGGTCTGGTATAGCGGTACCACCTGTTTCACTCTTCCTGCTTAGAATTGCTTTACCTATTCTGGGTATTTCCAGATGAATTTTATGATTGTTTTTTCTATTTCTATGAGGAATGCCATTGGGATTTTCATCGGAATTACATTGAACCTGTATAGTGCTTTTGGTAGTATGGTCATTTTAATAATATTAATTCTGCCTATCCATGAACAAGGTAGATCTTTCCATATTCTATGGTCTTCTTTGATTTTTCTCTTTAGGGTTCTATAGTTTTCATTGTATAGATCCTTCACCTCTTTTGTTAAGTTGATTCCCAAGTATCTTATTTTTCTTGAGGATATTGTGAATGGGGCAGTTTCCTCATTTCCTTCTCAGAGGATTTGTCACTGATATACAGAAATCCACTTCTTTTTTTAAAAATATGTTTTTTAGTTATTGATGGACCTTTATTTTATTTATTTGTTTATATGTGATGCTGAGAATTTAACCCAGTGTGACACACATGCCAGGCAAAAGCACTCCCCCAGTAATCTACAACCCCAGCCTCTATGCCTATTTCTTTTACTTTTTATGTGATTTTTTAACATGATAGAATATCTTAAAGAAGATTTAGAATGTTAGAGCTAAAAAAGGAACTTCGCTTTTGTCTGTTATTGTGGTTTCCAACTCAGAACTTTTTTTATCCAAATAAAATCTTAAAACAGAAGGATAATTAGATCTTGTACAACTTGACTTGTTAAAAATAGAGATTGAGGCCTTAAATTGTGTGATCTTCCTACCACTCCAGGATCCTGAGAGAACAGAGCTGGAAGATGAGTGTGATCTTGTTTCAGTTTCCCATTTTACAAGAGAGGGAATTGGTTGAGAATAGGGGAGCGGGGACAGACAGACACACAGAGACATGACTTGTAAAGGTAGTGGCAGTCCAAGACTGTTGATTTTCATCCTAGTGCTTTTTTTTTTTTTTTTTTTTTTTTACATTTACTTACCCTACTTCTTGTGCTTAATGTAACACTTTATAGGGGAGTTTTGATCATTCTGAAGAAATCCTTAATGGCGAGTTGGCTCGGATCATCTACAAAAATTCTATAAGCAAGATTAAAGGTAGGTGTCTTTTGGTGCTGGGGTTGTGGCAAAATGGTAGAGTGCTTGCCTATGGCATGTGAGGCCCTAGGTTTGGTCCTCAGCACCACATAAAAATAAATAAATAAAGTATTGTGTTCAACTACAGCTAAAAAATAAATATTAAAAAATGGTAGGTGTCTTTTGAACATTTATTTGTGGTAGGAAAGTGGAGCATTCTCATATTGAGCTAATTTTGTTAGCTAATTTTGAAAATTTCAACTGTAATATGTATAAAACTCTGATTGTAGGGATAATGTCCTGTATCTTTTATTTTTTAAATACTTTTTTGTCAATGGATGGATCTTTTATTTATTTATTTATATGCAGTGCTGAGGGGTAAACTTAGGGCCTCACACATTCCAGTCAAGCACTCTACCACTGAACTACAACTCCAGCCCAGAGTCCTGTATCTTTTTGAAAATGCTTATTTCTTCTAGACTATAATTGGACATTTTTTAGGAAGTGGTTTTTTTTGATGTTGTTGTTGTTGTTGGGGTACCAGGGATTGAAGTCAGGGCCACTTAATCACTGAGCCTCATCCCCAGCCCTATTTTGTATTTTATTTAGAGACAAGGTCTTGCTGAGTTGCTTAGTGCCTTGCTTTTGTTGAGGCTGGCTTTGAACTCGTGATCCTCCTGCCTCAGCCTCCCCAGCCACTGGGATTACAGGCATGTACAACTGTGCCTGGCTTCAGGAACTATTTTTCAAATACTTAACTTATTTAGATATTGAAAAGAAGTAGAGAACTTAGTTTGTTTCCTTATGCCCTCAAGTTTAGAATGAAAGTTAGAAGTGCTTATGAATATCCCATAATATTAATAATGGCTTTGCTTGTTTATGGGGACTATAGGATCTCCCCCAGCCCATTTTTTTCCTCATTCTCAAAAAGAAAAAAAAAAAAAAAGAAAATCCACAACCAAAATAAGCTTCCTTCAGTTGGAGGGGTGTGTAAGTCTGCAGTAGAGGTGTTTAGCATGTGTGAGTCCCTGGATTCAATCCCCAGACCTCTATCTACCCTGCCACTCCCCACCCCCCCCCCCAAAAAAAAAAAAAAAAAAAAAGAACTAGTATTCAGGTGCAAGTTTGGGACCAGCCCCAGCAACTTGGTGAGACCCTGTCTCAAGGAGGAAAAAAAAAGGGAATGGGAGTGTAGCTCGGTGGTAGAGTGCCCTTTGTGAAGAATTTCTCCTCCCCTGCTTTTTAAATTTTAGGTGCAGAATTTCATGTGTCACTTCTCTCAATTGCACAGCTGTTTGATTTTTCCAAAGATCTACAAAAAGAAATTTATGATGAGTAAGTAAAATGGTAGAAAGGTGAATTATATCTATTTCTGATCATATGATAAAAATTTGAGTTTGGTTGTTTGTAAGGGAGGAAAAAGATACAATACTAGATCCTTGGAAGAAAGGCTAAGTTTTTTTTTTTTCTTTTATTATTGACTTTATAGAAAGGTTAAGTTTTAAGAAAAATGTGTATGCTTTACATATTCAAAGAGTATGTTTTTAGAGAATTCTTTGACCTTATTTATTGACTTCCTTTTGGAAATAATTTGTCTATATTCAATAACAAATATATCCTAAGGCTTATATAAAAATCCTATATCCTGCTGGCATGTGGCACATTCCTGTAAGTCAAGCTGGTCAGGAGGCTGAGGCAGGAGCATCATAAGTTTGAGGCTAGCTGGGGTTGTAGCTCAGTGGTAGAGTTAGACTGTGTGAGTCCCTGGGTTCAATCCTTAGTACCAAAAGAAAAACAAGAAAACCTGTGTTCTGTTGTCCTGGCATGTCTTTTGTTCATAAAACAAGAGTTGTATTCATAACTGTTCTTACTGGAATGTTGCAAGTAATTTTATTCTTCAATGCCTGATTATATTGTCTAAGAATTTTTTATTTGTGCCTACTTTATATGTACTTCCATTCTTAGGTAGCACCCTGTGCTTTTCTAGGGTATAAGATGAAATGTGGATCAGTTTGTCCTTTAGATCTGTAGAGTTTTGGTAGAGGATTAGGTTGTGCTTTTTCTCTGCCTCCATTATAATAACAGGAAATCCAGAGTTAGGATATAAAGCTGTCAAGAGCTCTTGGAGGCTTGTGTGGTTGCAGATAACTGCTGATTTGACTTTATGAGTTAACTTGAATGTTAACATTTGTCAGTGATGTCTGAAATATTATGAGACAATAAATCTGTGACAGCTTTGTTCCACTGATTATATAGTGAGTGAAGGTACTCTGGCTCTTAAGGTACTGCAGTTATAAAGGTGTCTTGTGTACATTTTTAGACCATGTGGAACTGTCTGTTTGGGAATTCCGAGTTCCTTTTTGTGGAACAAATGCCAATAAACTGTATTTTTCAGCCTTCAGGCTATGCACACAGATGACCCTCTCACTTGGGATTATGTGGCACGCCGAGAATTAGAGATCCAGTCACAACCAGGAGATGAGCAGCCTCTGACAAAAAAAGCCAGAGCAGCGGAGGTGGGCCGGAGGGAGGAGAGGTGCTGTGCTGTATATGAAGAGGCAGTGAAGACTCTGCCTACAGGTAAACTTCTTTAAACCGCCATGTCGTGTAGAAGTAACAGTATCCTAGTGTGAGCAGACACTCCCCTTCCCATTACCAAAATTGGCACTGGAAATCTCTTTATAGTACAGTTTGCAATGTGCCTGGCTTTCCAGCTTGTTCTTTCTCTGATGGTGGAAGTTGGAGCTTTTGTATACTTCCTCTATCTTTGCGGTCTTTATGTTCATTTGTTTGGAGGAGTTGATACTTAGGAAATGATAATTCAGAAGATTCTTTAGTTACCTTTTGCTAGAGATTTTACTTCTTTTATAATATTGGAGAATAAAATTGGTGAGGATCTAAAACCTGGATAAAGCTTTTGATTTTGAATTTTATGTTTCTATTATTACTCAGATGCTTTCCCCCAGTATTTGAAATATTTGGCTGTAATTCGAATAACTTTTTTTTTCCCAATATTTTTTTAGTTGTAGATGGACAGAATACCTTTATTTTATTTATTTATTTTTGTGTGGTGCTGAGGATTGAGCCTAGTGCCTCACGTGTGCCAGGCAAGCGCTCTGCCACTGAGCCACAACCTCAGCTCCCGAATAATTTTCCATTAAGCTAGTTAAAACTTTTCTTCAGAGGCTTTTTCCCTTTGAAGAAAACACATGTGATGATTATTGAACTAAGAGAATTGGTGATCTTATCAATGTAATGTGATTTTTTTTCCCAGAGGGCATGTGGAAATGTTACATCAATTTTTGCTTGGAAAGATTTTCTAAGAAGACGAGTAGTGAGTTCCTCAGAGGGAAGGTAAGGGCTTGTATTTCATGGTTACAGTGACTGATTAGAAAGTGCCTATCTTCTAAAAGAAGAACAGAAGCACAGCATTTTGCGGGAGGGTCTGGGCCAGCTTTTGGAACTTCAAGCTTAACCACTTTCTCCTGACAGCCAGGAGGGTGGCCTGTCATTTTCAAGGTCTGATTTGGTTTGCCCTTATACTGTACACCAGGGTAGGAGGGGCCCTCTTCTTACTGGGCTGTGCCCCATACAAGTGATAACCTCCTCTAATGATGAGTGACACCATAATGCAGGAGCAACCAGTCCTTTCTCTGAATTGTTAGAAATATGCAAAATTGTTTTTGTTTATATCAGTGGACAGAGGCCTCTGATGAGATCTTGGTAATAAACTGAGGAATTTTTCTGATTTTAGAGACTGGAAAGAACCATGATTTCATTCAGGAAGGCACACGAACTCAAGCTCCTTTCAGAATCCCAGTACAAGCAGTGGGTAAGAACATTGAGAGCACATTCACTGTCAGTTACATATACTTTATTTTTGTTGTTTTGTGCTGTTGTCAGTGTGTTTTGTATGTATGGACTAATCTATCTTACACAACTGTGGCCATTTGGAAGATGGTATTTACGTGTGGTTGTATTTGGTATACACCAAAATTGAAATCTGTGAAGGGGAAGGTATTATACAGTGGAAAGTACTTGAACAGAGAGTCTGAGTTTGTTTATTCACCCATCCTTTATTTATTTGTGATGCTGGTGATCAAATCCAGGGCCTTGTGCATGCTAGGCAGGTGCTCTTCCTCTGAACCTCACCCCAACCCCATTCATCCATCTTTTAATGAACATTTTTTTCCTGGCCCAGAGTAACCATTAAAGCAATGAAATATGTTCCTGTATTTCAAAAGCCGACATTCTAGTAAGAGGCACATTAACCCTCTATACTTTGAGTTGAGGGTAAAGAAAGTCCAGAATACTATACTGTGGAAATATATAGTTTTAGATCAGGTTTTACTGCATAGTAGCTAGATGACTTAGAAAAACCACTTAACTTTGCTGAGTTTATTTGGTTTTAAAATAGTCATCTTTGTTTTTGCCACCTCACAAAGTCGTTGAGAGCATTGCATAAAGTAGTGAATGTGTTAATATAACTGTTCAGCGGGGGGGGGGAAACAAAAATTTTTATATTTATTGAGTTTTTTATTTATATGACTTCTGCCTCTTTTTTTGTTTTTTTTTTTGGCAGGGGATGGGGCAGCATACCAAGGATTGAACTCAGGGCCACTTAACCACTGAGTCACATCCCCAGTCCTATTTTGTATTTTATTTGGAGACCGGGTCTCACTGAGTTGCTTACTTTGCTGAGACTGGCTTTGAATTCACGATCCTCCTGCCTCAGCTTCCCAAGCCACTGGGATTAAAGGAGTGTGCCAACACACCTAGCTTGCCCCTTTTGATCAATATTATTTTTATGTAATTGTAATGAATGTTTTTTCTATTTTGTATTGTGTTGTATTTTGTATTGTGTTCTATTATTTTTGCATTAATATTTCCCTCAAGATACTAGGTAGTATAACCTGTTATATTATTCCAAGGCTGAGATACGCTTCTCCTTTTAAGGCAACTACTCAGGAAAATCCCAAGGCTGGAGTTATTAAGTGTTGGAAAGTCATTCACAATGCATAAATTCAAGTGGTCTTTGAATATTACCTTGGCAGTCCTGTTCTTCTGTTATCATCTTTCTTATGTTGTTTACAACTCTGGCTATTTCAAACATTCTTACAATACTGAAATCTCTGAAGTTGCCTTTCCTAAGACTACCTTACTTTTAAAGAGAATCCCTTAGCATACTGCCATAAAAGTTAAATGCCCAGCTAATTCTACACCCATCCTTTTTCCAGGTTGTTCTCCACAGAATCTCTACTCTTTAACTTGGCCCCTGCCAGTATTTCCAGACTCATCTTCCAATCCTTTGGTGTGTGTCCTACCCTCCAGTCATACTGAACTTGGATTTCCTTTTATCTGAGCCATCTCTGGCCTCTTGCTAGTTGGGAAAGCCTTCTCTTTTTCTGGAGGTCTTGTGTTCATTTGGTTAGTACGTATTTCTGTTTTAAGTCTTGGCTTAAATGCTCCTTTTCTGAGTCCTCTCTGGTAATTGCCAAAGCTCTAGTTGGTGTTTCTGGTTTGTACTCATGTAGCAGGTGATTCTTTTTGTCATGGCACATGTCAAACTGTCTCTTTTGGTAGGCTGTCTTTTTAGGAAGTCTCTCTGTAGGCAGTAGGAGTATAAATTCAATCTAGCATATAATATGGGTGAACTGTTTATATATTGCCATTTACTCACTTTTTCACACTTCTGTAAAATTGGAATTGTTTTAGGGTTTTTTTTTTTTCTCTCTCTCTTTTTTTGGTATCTGGGATTGATCCTGGGGCATTGAACCTCTGAGCCACATCCCCAGCCCTTTTCTTATATTTTATTTTGAGACAGGGCCTTGCTAAGTTGCTGAGGCTGGTTTTGAACCTGTGATCCTCCTACCTGAGCATTCTGAGCTGCTGGGATTACAGGTGTGTGCCACTGCACTTAGCAGTTTTTTTCCTCTATTAAAACTGTGGACGCTAGGGTGCAGTAGTATATACCTATAATCTCAGCTACTTGGGACAATGAGACAAGACGATCACAAATTTGAGGCCAGCCTGGGCAGTTTAGTGAGACCGTGTCTCAAAATAAGTAAGTGCTAGGAATATAGTGCAGTGGTAGAGCGCCCCTGCTTTCAATCTATGGTACTACAAAAACAAAAATATAGCCAACTAGTGTGGATATAAACCTTTGAACAGATAAGGTTTCCTTCTTTTTTTTGTCAGGCCATATTTGTTAAAGTTCAAAACTTTTAAAAAGATGAAAACTTCTATGACTTGTTACACAGTGCTAAATTACGTTTTAGAAAAATTGTAATGTAATGTATCCAACTCCATTTGATTGAATACATCTATTTAATTACTGTGCCCCAAATACTTATTTTATCTTTATTGACTTATATTCTGGTGGGTGTGAGCACCAGTCTAAATCCCTGCCCCATGCCATGCTAGGGAGTTACACCACTGAAGTACATCCAGTCCCCCAGCGGCCCCCCGAGTATATTTGATAAGTCTTTGGAATTAAGTCATGATGGCCCAATTTGTGTTTGTATATGTGTGTGTGTGTGTGTGTGTGTGTGTGTGTGTGTGTGTGTACTGGGGTTTGAACCCAGGGGTGCTCTACAACTGAGCTAAACCTCAGCCGTTTTTAATTTTTTATTTTGAGATAGGGTCTTGCTAAGTTGCCCAGGCTGGCCTCAAACTTGTGATCCTTCTGACTCGCCCATCCTAGTAGCTGGGATTATAAGAATATGCTCCTGCACACCAGCTTTTGTCCCTGTTTTTTTTTTTTTTTTAATATTTTTTAAGTTGATGGACCTTTATTTATTTATATGCAGTGCTAAGAATTGAACTCAGTACCTCACACATGCCAGGCAGGCGCTCTACCACTGAGCTACAACCCCTGTTCCTGTTTTTCTTGATTGTCTTTATTTGTGGGAGTAGGAAAAGGAAGAGGAATTCCAAATTGTTCTCTTTGGGCCTATGCAGCAGCCAGGGTAAAAATTTTAGTGGAAAGGCTGTTGAAATTATTGTCTCACATGAGGTCTTTGTCTCTATTTACATATGTTATTTATGTTTCAGTAATTAACTTTTCAGTAATTAACTTTGTCTTAGATTGAGTTGTTGCTGCCCCGTGACTTCTTTACGGAAGCTCTGGAGGTGGCAGAAGCTGGGATTGAATTGTTCAAGGACTCCGTGACAATGTGGCAGATGAAGCTGCAGGTGCTGATTGCCTCAAAGAGTCCTGACATAGCCATGTTTGTTGAAGAAGCCTTTGTGCACCTCAAACCCCAGGTCTGTGAGTTGGGTCTTTCATGTTTCATTCTGTTTGGGAAACCTGTTAAGACTTTAGCCAAAGCTCCTTTGAATACATATTTGCTGAGAGCTGACCCTAGAGTGACATTTATTGTAAATGGTTTGAGGGATCAGTAGTGGAATTCATTTCATTTCTTTCTTTCTTTTTTGTTTGATACCGGGGATTGAACCCAGGGGCACATCCCCATCACTCTTTTGAATTTTATTTGGAGACAGGGTCCTAAGTTGCTTAGGGCCTTGCTGAGTTTCTGAGGCTGGTTTTGAACTTACCATCCTCCTGCCTCAAATTCCTGAACTTTTGGGATTATAGGTGTGCACCTGCCACCATGCCCAGCTTCAACAGCTTATTTCTAACCCTTATTTGAAAATTGGCTATATTATATAAAACTTTCTATTCTGTTTAGATATCTTGGAACAAGTGATAAATTTGATACAATATTATTCTCACTTGCATCTAAAGCTGAACATTGACCTGACTTTTAATTGAAAATGTATTTCTAATCTTTAAAGATCAAAACTTAAAACTATACAGTAAATCTTTTTATATCAGTGAGGAAAATGTACTCCAGAAGGTAAAACGGGAAAAACACTATTTTTCTGCTCATTTGTGTTTGCTTTTGGCAAGTGAGTGAAAAATCAGCCTTGATTAGTTAGTTCTTGTGTTGTAGGTCCTAGACAGCAGAGCCATGGCCTGGGTAGCTGTGGGTTGGGCTGTCTGTCTGCTGTTAATGGTTTAAGTAACTGAATGATGATTGATGATGCCAACTACAGGAAGTATTCCCCAACAGAAGGGAACTAAAATTAGCAGGAGAGGATTGCTCTGGGTGACTTAGAAGGCTGTCTATGTTCTGACATGCCAATTCCTGCTGGGCAGAAATGAATCCATAGTTTGCATATTGATTGTCTTAGGAGGAGCCCATCTTTATAGTGATAAATTTTCAGAGCATAGTGCTGAACGATCATTTTCTAACTTTTTTTTTTTTTTTAATTGGGAGTAGGTTTGTTTGCCCTTATGGATTTCATGGGCAGAGTGGAGTGAAGGTGCCCAAAGCCATGAAGACACAGAAGCAATCTATAAGGTGTAGTTCCATGTTCTAAGTCTTGTGGTTTGGGGAATGGGCTCACTAGTTGGAGGGTTCTTTCATCAGCATATGTCCTAAAGCCCCATTAAGTAGCCTGAGGTGGTTCTGGGAAAATTTGTTTTGTTATCTATAAATTTTCTCATACAACTTGTTTCTTTTTTCTTTTACATTGTAGAAAGCTATTTTAGCTATCACAGGTACCAGCTCAGTAACTCTGAAGGATAAATACTTGGATTGGGCATATCGAATTGGTGGCAACAAAAAGGCCAGAACTGTGTTTAAAAGGTACTCACAAACTTTTATAGCCGTTTCTACTCTCTCTACTCCATGGCCCATCATAGCCAAATTGTATGTATCACAAATAGTATCTGGGAAAGTAATCCAAGGGATTTTTTAAAAAAGTAATGCTTCTTTTTACTGCTTTTGAACAATAAAAGCAATTAAACCTCTTTGGCAGAGAAAATCAACAGGTGATTCATTGTAATCCCATCAAAAGAAAAACCACTGTTAATATATTTTAGAATTTGTTTCTTATGTAGTTGAGGTTAAACTATAATCATAGTTTTGTGTTCCATCTTTTCCTCTTTCAGTATACATTCTTCATTAACATTTATTAAAAACCACTCTGTGGATTTGGTATAATTTCTTTGGTCATGGTAATACTGCTTGATGAACATTTCCTTGGCAGTAGTATTTGTCCATAAGGGAAATTATTTCCTTAGGATGTAGTCTTAGAAATGGAACTATTGGCCTCCAAAAAGATCTTAAGATATAGTTGGGGAAACTTTAGACTCCAAATGTGAGAAAGAGGAAAGCAGAAAGAAAAGTGAGTAGGAAAGACTTTGGTGGTGAAGGGGAAGTCACTAAAGGTTGAGAGTAGTCACTGGGTCTAGACCTTGCATGGAATTACAGCAAAGTCTTTGTTAAACCCCCTCTTTTGGAGGCACTGCCCTGGGTATTTATTTTTATTTATAAGAAGTAAAAGGCATCCTATCACTGTGGAAGATGACATTTTTACATTCTATTTTAGTTTACAGGAAAACCGGCCATTTTCAGTAGATTTTTTCAGGAAAATGATCCAGTTTGAAAAGGAGCAAGTAAGTATTCTAAGCATGACTTGCCTGGGAAAATGGGCTAGTAGTTACTAATCTATGGCAGCATCTCATTGTTTTAAAAACTTATTATAATACAGTATAAATTTCTGGTATAGTATAAATTTCTGGTTCCACTGGGTGTGGTAGTGCATACTTGTAGTCCTAGCTACTTGGGAGGCTGAGGCAGGGGGATTGCAAATTTGAGGCTAGCCTGGACAACTTTAGGGAGACCCTGTATCAAAATAAAAAATGATGTAGCTCAGTGGTGGGGCACTCCTGGATTCAATCCTCAGTACTGTGGAGGGAGAAAAGATATTTCTGGTTTCTTGGTCCAACCCATTTTCTATAGAGCTAGTAGGAATGGTATCAAGAAAGTACCTGTTTGGAGAGTAAAAAACTTGGACGTCACCTCTGACAGGAAGCCTTACCTACCATTCTGGATGAGGGACTGCTTCTGCTTTGCTTTCATAGTGTGGATGGTGAGGTACAGAGTGAAGACTCAATTACTATTCCTGGTGTTTTTAAATGGAACTTGTGAGCCAGGAGAAAGGATAGGAGAGTCGCATTTAAAAATAATTCACAAAAATCCTAATGTATCTGTAATCCCATCACATTAATATAGCCTACTATTATTTAATATTTTAATTCACATGCACTTGGTTTTGTACTGTTATATTTTGGACTTAGGTGTCAAATGAGAGATCTCCTTTTATAGACACATTCCTGTGTTTTTATATGTTTATCACATTTTTAATGGTTGTAATCCTTTTTTTTTTTTTCCTTTTTTCTTTTGTTACTGGGTATTGAACACATGGGTGCTTAACCACTGAGTCACATCCCCAGTTCTTTTTTATATTTTATTTTGAGACAGGGTCTCACTGAGTTGCTTAGGGCCTCACTAAGATGCTGAGGCTGGTTCTAAACTTGTGATCCTCTCTCTTCAGCCTCCTGAACTGTTGGGATTACAGGCTTGTGCTACCTGTGCCCTGGTGATGAGGCTTTCTTTGAACTTGCAATCCTGTCTGAGGCTCCTGAGCAGCTGGGATTATAGGCATGTAATGCTGTGCCCAGCTCTAATGTAATTCTTAAACCTGTAATTTTCATATCTATTCCATTATATATATATAGATTCTTATCTCTTTTTTTTTGTATATTGAAAACACTGCTGCAGAGATTGTCTTTATGTAGCTTTTTTCTACATAAATTACTGATATAAATTTCTGGATTGGGGGCATATTTTGTATGGTTTTATTATATTGCCATATTATAGTTCTCCAAAAGAATTAGGCTTGGGCTGGGTTGTGGCTCAGTGGTAGAGTGCTTGCCTAGCATGTGTGAGGCACTGGGTTCGATTCTCAGCACCACATAAAAATAAACAAGTAAAGCATTCTATTCATCTAAAACTACAAAAAAAAAAATTAGGCTTATTTATAATAAGATATACTGCATCCTTGTTTCCTTTTAGCTTCTCCAAGTATCCAATTTTGCTTTTTCTCTTTTATTTTGGTACTTCACTTGGTGTTTTTTTTATTTGCATTTTCAAAGTTACCTGGGCATGATGGCACATGCCTATAATCCCAGCCACTTGGGAGGCTGAGGCAGGAGGATCAAGAGTTCAAAGCCAGCCTCAGCAACTTAGCCAGACCTTGACTCTAAATAAAATATAAGGGCTAGGGATGTGGTTCAGTTCCCCTAGGTTCAATCCCTGGCACCCCCCCACCCCCCCAAAAAAAGTTACTAGTGCGGTTGAACTCCTTTTTTCATAGTTTGACCATTGTTGTCTGAGTCAAGTGTCTATTCATGTTCTATAGTATGTACAGTCTTATAATACTAGAGATAGTTTAATATCATCAAACAGCCAGACTTTGTATTAACATGTGCCTTGGGCAGACCACTTAGTTCTAAGCCTCACATCCTCATCTATAAAAGGTCCTTATACCTTTTTCAGTTGTATGAGAGTTATAGGGCCTAATTGGGATACTACGTAGAAAGGACTTTGCATAGTGCCTTGACCATTAGGAACCCTCAGCAAAGTATGATTCTGTTTTTTTTTTTTTTTAAAGCATATGAGGTTAAATTGACTTCCTGTAATATAATACAATCTCAGTGAAGTGAGATTTGAATTAGGAAGATTTTGGTTTTTTTTTCTGTGCTGCTAGGAATCTAACCCAGGAATTATATATGCTAGACAAGTGCTGTGCCCCTGAGGTAACTCCCCAGCTCAGGAAGTAGTTATTTTATTATACAAAAGGATTTTTAAACTGAAGATGTCAAGTCTACTGTGAAAAGAAAGCAAAAGGGGATGTATTTTTAAAAATAGATGAAGAATTAGCAGTTATTGATTGTCTAAAATTAGCGGTTCATCATTAATCATTACCTTAATACTTATAGTTGCACTAAGAAGTACAAACTTTGTTTTCCATGTGAGAAAATATTGACAGAGGGTTTAAAACACTTGTTGAAGGTTAGCCAGGTATGGTGGTACATGCCTATAAGCTGGGCAACCAGGGAAATCAGCTGAAGCAAGAGGATTACAAATTTGAGGCCAGTCTCAGCAACTTAGTGAGCCCCTATCTCAAAATAAAAAGGACTAGGGATTTGACTCAGTGATAAAGCACCCCTGGGTTCAAAAATTCTCATCCCCCCCCCAAAAAAAAACCACACTAAAAAAACCCCCAAAACTTGCCAAGGGTCATATAAATTTGTTTCTTTATTTTACTCTTACTCATCCCCCAAGCCTTTCAAATGTTTCCTGTGAAGCCTTTCATGTTTCCCATTAATTTTTTTTGTTCTTTTTAGTTATATATGACAGTAGAATTATATATATATATATATATATATATATATATATATATATATATTAGAGAGAGAGACAGAGAGAGAGAATTTTTAATATTTATTTTTTAGTTATCGGCGGACACAACATCTTTGTATGTGGTGCTGAGGATCGAACCAGGGCCGCACGCATGCCAGGCGAGCGTGCTACTGCTTGAGCCACATCCCCAGCCCTATATATATTTTTTTTAATATTTATTTTTCAATTGTTGTTGGACACAATACCTTTATTTTATTTATTTTTATGTGGTGCTGAGGATCGAACCCATGTACTAGGCGAGTGCTCTATCACTGAGCCACAACCCAAGCCTCGAGTAGAATATATTTTAACATATCATACATACATGGAGTATAACTTCCCATTCTTTTTTTTTTAATATTTATTTTTTAGTTGTAGTTGGACACAGTACCTTTATTTTATTCATTTATCTTTTACGTGGTGCTGAGGATTGAACCCAGGATCACACGTGTGAGGCGAGCACTCTATTGCTGAGCAATAACCCCAGCCCTAACTTCCCCTTCTTATGGTTGTACATGATGTAGAGTTACACTGGTCATGTATTCATTTATGAACATAGGACAGTTATGTCCGGTTCATTCTATTGTCTTTCCTATGCCCAATCCTACTCCCTTCTCTTCATTCCCCTTTGTTTAATCCCTTACTGAAAATTTATTAGACTTTTTTCCATGCCACCAGAGCAAGGTGTTTTTACGAATTGACATTGACTTCACTCTGGTGGGTAGTGCATTTGCCTTTTTTCTGGGTAAGTTGACAACTAGGCTGATTCGTCTTATACCCTGACCCTCCTTCCCCTTCAAATATCTAACAGATGGTAGTTGTTAACTCTAAGTTTGAAATGAACTTGTGATTTTATAACCAGGCTTTTGTGGCAAAATTGTCTGATTGTTTTTGTTAGGAATCTTGTAAGATGGCAAACTTAAGAGAATATTATGAGAGAGCTTTGAGAGAGTTTGGATCTGTAGATTCTGGTAAGTAAACTTCAGTTATGGACACATAACTGAAGAAGTGTTGGCTTCTGCAGTCTGTGACCTGTGAATAAGTTACAACAGTGTTTAGCTTTTTTGTATCATGGCCTTTGAATAGCACTTGATTCCTTCCCCTGCCTTCTCCCTTGCCTTGTGTACAAAAACTTATTGGACACATAGTTTTACTTAAAATTTTAAGTTTCCAAGAATCCATAAGTTCTTCTCTTAAGAACTCTGGGTTAGAGAAAGATATGCTTGGTTAGGTTTTCTTAAAAAAAAAAAAAAATTTTAGTGGATGCATGTCTGTAATTCCAATCACTTGGGAGGTTGAGGAGGAGGATTGCCTTGTTACTTGGTGAGTCTCTGTCTCTAAAAAAAAAGAAAGAAAAGAAAAAAAAAAGAGGGCTGGGGATATAGCTCAAGGATAAAATGCCCCTGGGTTCACCCCCCAGGGCTAGGAACAAAAAAGGTGGGGGGAGGGGTAAGGAATACTTATTTGTAAGGAATATGTTCATAATGGAGGTGATTAGTCATAGTAGTGGGGAGGGAGGATAGGGCAAGATTGATCAATGGGTACTAAGTTACAGTTTGATAGGAGCAAGTAGTTCTGATGTGCTGTTGCACAGTAGGGTGACTATAGATAATAGTAATGTACCACATATTTCAAAAAGCTAGAAGAAACAATATTGAAAGTTTTCACCATAAAGACATGACAAATGTTTGAGAAGATATGTATAACCTCATTTAAACATTGTACAATGTATGCATGTATCAAATGTTCTGTTACCCCATTAATATATACAGTTTTTACATATCTATTTGTTTAAAATTTTAAAGTTAAAAAAAAATAACTTGTCAGAAGAACAAAAAGGTGTGGGAGTTAGAGCTGATGGTAACATGGCTGTCAACTACACTGCCCACTTGTAAGAATTGCCCAACATACTTCTGGGCATAGTTTTGTCATGTAGAATATGGGGCTTTAAAGTTTTCCCCCATTTTTTAATGGTGCGATTTGTTGTTACATATTCATATATGCACATGATATGACAGTATAATTTGGCCAATATCATACCCCAGTATTTCCCTTTTTCTTTTCTTCCTTTCCCAAGTCTCTTTCCTTTCTTCTACTGATCTCACTTCAATTTTCATGAGATTCCACCTACTTTTCTTTTTCTTTTTTCTCTCCAGCTTCCCCATATGAGGGAAAACATGACCCTTGACCTTAAGTTTGACTTATTTTGCTTAAATTCATGGTTTCTAGTTCCATCCATTTTCCAGCAAATGACATAATTTAATTTTTCTTTATGGCTGAGTAAAACTCCATTGTGTGTGTGTGTGTATTTTCTTTATTCATTTGTCTATTGATGGACTCTTAGGCTAGTTGGTTTCATAGTTTGGCTCTTGTGGATTATGCTGCTATAAACATGGTTATGCAGGTATTGCTGTAGTATGCTGAGTTTAATTCTTTAGGATAAATACTGGTTAGTGGTGTAGCTGGGTCGTATGGTGATTTGAGGAACCTTCATATTGATTTCCATAGTGGTTGTACTAATTTACAATCTCACCAACAATTCCTGCTGGTTTTCAATAGACTATATGTGGTGAAATGGATGAAAGCAGCATTTTTTGCTAACACAAACAAATTTTATTTAAGCACAGTAATAAGGTTATTTGTGAATTGATTGAGGTTACTCTTGCCTTAAAAGAGACTTCAACAAAATCTTCCCTTTTAAAAAATCTTAGTATTTTTAGTTGATTAAATAACATAGGCTGTCATGATTAATGGGAAGGTTTTCTATTAACCAGAAAACCCTTTTCCTATACCTTCATGTAAAAAAGCCATGAGAAGTATTGCTTCATATAGGGCTCTAGGGAAATAACAGGAGTTAAGTTTCTTAGAAATTTTGAATCAATATTAAATAATTGCCTAAAAAGCCTTATTAGTTGTCTAACTATGTTTACAGTATTTTTTTTTTTTTTCATTCCTTTTTAAGATCTTTGGATGGACTACATCAAAGAAGAATTGAATCACCCACTTGGTAGACCTGAGAATTGTGGGCAGATCTATTGGCGAGCCATGAAGATGTTGCAGGGAGAGTCAGCAGAATTGTTTGTAGCCAAACATGCTATGCATCAGGCTGGACATTAGTGAAGAGAAGAATACAACGAACTTTGTAAAATCCTCTTGCAAGCCTCCTGGACACTTTTGTATTATGAATCAGTCTGTAAATTGAGGTGACAGATAAAATGGCTGATTGATTTTGAGATGTTTTGTGTTGTGTTAATCTTTAGTTTCAGGAAAAAGAACTGCTTCTTGAATGACTATTGGTTGAGGCCAAATCTACTAGTTTTTTTTTTTCCTCCTTCCTCCTGTACTGGGGATTGAACTGGGTGGGGTGGGGGGGGGGAGAGATACTCTACCATTGAGCCACATTCTGAGCCCATTTCCCTCCCTTTTTAAACAAAAATTGAGACAGGATTTCACCAAATTGCTCAGGCTGACATCAGATTTGTGATTCAACTGCCTCAGCCAGGATGCTGAGTAGCTGGGATTACAAGCATGTGCCAAGATGCCTGGCAACCATAGTTCTTAAATGTTTTTCAAAATATATGGAAATCCTGCACTGCATTGTATTTATTATTTCAGGTCAAGCAGACATACTTCTAATCTAGACCTAGCAGCCAGTTAAAATGAAAGAGGACATATGGTTTTATCTGTTCTCTCTTTACTGTGAAACTATATGTGATACGCATTTGAAATATGGATGAAATAGGATAGTGAGAAGTTGAAAACCTCCTGTAATCCAGCTTAAGTTGGATTTAGTAATTTGATTTTCTTTTTCAGAATTGGATTTATATTTTTAGATCATTCCAGAAGTATTTGAGTGCTTATCATTTGCACAAAAGAAGGAAGGCTGTGGGGGATAGAGGTAGGGGTTGGAAAAAAGCATATCCAAAGAGAGCTGGTTGGAGCAGCAGAGATGAAGGTGCTGGAATTTGAGTGGGGCAGGGGGAAGTCCTTTAAGAAGGTTAAAAACTATAAACGTGTTTTATCTGTCCTAAGGATAGATAAGCAGAGAATTGTTTGTATTTGTATTGGGGAGGCAACCAAAGGGCAAGGTAGTGGATTAGAGTGGCAGAGAAGTATCTCACTGGGGAGACCTGGAAAGACGGCTTTGGGCAGAAAAGGGCATTCTGGGAGCAGGGGAGAGAATTGTTTGAATTTATATCATTTAACTTAACATTGTGATATCACTGGGAGAAGCATTCAGTGCAGTCTCACTTAATAGTACATTATTATCCTATGTCATTAAATACCTTTAAAACATTTTAATTAATTTGTAACATTCCATTATAAAAATAGCCTTGATTTATTTTATTAATCCTCTGGTTGGACCTTGTCATTTTATATATATATATATTATAAATGCTTCTGATAGAGATTTTTGTCATTCTTTGTTCACATCTATGATTGTTTTCTTTAAGAGACTGAATTTCTGGTATGAGTGGAATTTCTGGATCAAAGGATATATTGTAGAGAATATTGATATGTATTGCCATTTTGCTCCTTTCAAGCAGTATGAAAGTGGCAATGTCCTTGTTTGCACTAGATATTATAATTTATATTTTTGCCATTTTGAAAAGTGATAGTTTTGACATGAGTTTTTCTGAGATTAATGAAGTTAATGTGTTTCTCATCTTTCATAATATTTTTAAATTACTTTTTCTAACTAATTTATAAGTTTAAGAAATATTTTTATTAGTTGTTCACGGACCATTATTTTATTTACTTTTTTACATGTGGTGCTGAGAATCGAACCCAGTGCCTCGAACTTACTAGACAAGCGCTCTTCCACTGAGTCACAACCCCAGTCCTAACTTATAAGTTTTTTAATATGTTGAATGCCAATCTTTCCTTTGTTCTTTGTTGCAAATAATTTTATGTGCAGTTCTGTTGTTTTAGAAATGCGTTTAACTAGTTTTCCAGCGCTGTTTGGCCATTTTTCTCTCTGCTGATTTCTGATACTACCTTTAGTATATATTGAATTTCTATGCCTGTTAGAGTGTTTTGGGACATATTTATTTTGGGCTTTTGTGCTCTTACATGTTGTTTGCTTGTCATTTCCTTTAAGAAAAATTTATTTCTCAATAAATTGGGAAGTTTAACTTTCTAAATTTTACATGGCATCCTTATTTTAAGAGAGATACATGCTAACCTATAAGATAGGGAAAAAAGAAGTTGGGTTACCCTGAGATCATAACATCTTTGTATATGGCTCTCAGTGTTGCAGGTTATGAAAATGCTAGTTCACCTAGAGTTGTATGTAGGTGTGGTGGCCATGTGTGACAAAGTAATTCAGATTCTCATCCATACTGGCCATGTCTTTCCTTTTTTTATATATTTATTTTTCAGTTGTAGGTGGACACAATATTTTTATTTCATTCTTATGTGGTGCTGAGGATCGAACCCAGTGCCTCATGTGTGTTAGGTGAGCACTCTACCACAGAGCCACAACCCCAGCCCCATACTGGCCACATTTCAGGAGCTTAGTAATTTCTACCATGCAGAAGATGCTGTTGAGCATTGCTGACTAGAGCCTGTGCAGACTCACGGGTCAGCAGAACAGAACATGTGTTGATTAGTTGCATTTCCTTTTCTATGGGAAAGTATATAAAATAATATTGAATATTATGTGTCAATTTTAAGTTTTTTCAAATGCTTTATGTCACTTACAAACATATTGAGGGAGATGAAGAAAGGCAAATGTCCCCAAAGACTGTCATAATGTTGCCTGGTAACTGAGCTGGGTGTGGTGGCACATGCCTGATCCAGTGACTTGGGAGGCTGACGCAGGAGGATGGCAAATTGAGGCCCGCCTTGGCAACCTAGTGGGACCATTTCTCAAAAAATAAAAAACACTGGGGGACTTAGCTCAGTGGTTTAGCACCCCTGAGTTCAATCCCTAGTACCAGAAAAAAAAAAAAAAAAAAGGTGAGCAAGGAATCCAATTTTCATGTTGACTGGTAATGTGATCACTCCTTGCATTGATTTGTTAGAATTTAGTCATTGCTGGGGGGGGGCAGGGCGTGGTGGGGGGTCCCAGTGAAGGCTGCTTTATAGTTGGGTTTTGGGAGGGGGGATGTCAGGCTTTGCCCGTTGCCGAATACCACCTTATTTGCTCAAGGGATATAGACTGTAGACTACCAGACTTTGGGCATTAAAAGATAGGACTTCCTGTCAGATTCTGCTGTCACAGGAGCCGGTCTAGGGTTTTCGGGCCTCTACTGTGTCCAGACATTGTAGGAATTTGTTGTTTTGGTCATCTATCCTGGTTTATAATGGATTAGCTTTATTGACTAAACTCCAAGTGAGGACTTACTGGGCTGCTGAATTGCCTTATTTATTTGTGGATGGATAGGTGACAGTACAATTCTAGCCTGAAGTCTAGGGGAGACCTGTGAAGGGATATGGAGTGAAATGTGAGCCTCAATGGCATTAGCAGGTTGTGGGGTTTTTTTTTTTTTTTTTTTTTTTGGTACTGGGGATTGAACCTAGGGCCTTGCACAACTGAGCTGCATCCCCAGCTTAATAGCATTAAGTGTTTTGACAGCTGGGCTTTATGTCCTATCTGGTAATTTCGTGTTCTAACGGGAATGGAGGTGTTGAAGCTGAAATACATCCAGTATGGTTGGGCAGGGATAACACTTGCCATGTCGGACCCAGCTAGTAGTCCATCCCTGCTAGTTGTTCCCAGAATCTGCACCCGGGATTGGACTGTTTCTGGCTCCGCGTGGGGTAGGTGGGCAGTGTCTACCCCCGCGGCGGGCCCCGCCCCCTGCGCCGCCCAGCCCCTGGCTTCCTGGTGACCCCTGTCCCGCCCCGGTCGGGAACACCCGTGGCTGATTGGCCCTTCTGCGGCGTATCCTCGAGCTGGCAGTCGGGCCGGCGCATCACGTGGCCGCGCCGCGTCCCGGGCGCTGAGCCGCGGGCAGCCGGGCATGGACCTTCTGGCGGCCGGGTCCCAGGCTCTGGGGGCCGCTGGGCCGCCGCGGGGCCCCCAGCTGCAGAGCGCGCAGGAGGCTCCCCCCAGCCCGGAGGTGAGCTCCCCGCCGGGACCGGACGCAGCTACTGCCAGCGGCCCGGGGCGGGAAGTTGCGGGGCTCGCGGGGCGGTGCCGGGCGGCGACAGCGGAGCCTGGGAAGCGCCTCGGGCGCTCCTGAATGCTGAGCGCCGTTTGGGCGCGCGCTAGGGCTGGAAACGGCCGGTGGACTGGCTGCCGGGCGGGGAACCCCAGGGCGTGGGTGGGCGCGTCGCAGGGCTGGGAAGGCTGTGGGCTTCGGGGAGCCTTCACATACTTGGTAAATGGGAGGTGATGCTGATGAACCAGAGCTGGGGCCCGCTGCCGGGGGCCTGGGCCAGGATCTGGTGAGGACAACGAGGAGAGGGGCTTTACCTTGGGAACCTCTGTCCATTGGTGGGCATGCTCAGCTAACCTAAGCACCTGATGATGTCACATGGGCACTCTTTTTTTCTATTTAATGAAATCAAAGGCCCGTTTGACGCAGGCTTTCCAGAAACTTGTTTTCACGTGCGCGCCAGAAAGCACCGTTTTTTCCCCCAAGACCATTCTTATAGTTATCACCTGCTTTTTGAGGGTAGAACCCTCTCTTTAGGGCTCTTTACCCAAGCAACTAGCATTGTGCCTGGAACATACAAACGTATATTAATTGGGTGGATGAATGGAATGCTTATCTAAGCATCAAAGGTGGTATTTAACCAAAGATATGAAAAATATAGCCATAGACATACAGCAGATTACTTTGCATTACAGAATAGAATGAGACTAATTTTGTCAAGACAAAGTAGGAAAAGATGTGCATTTCCTCTCAAAGATGAGAGGATAGTGGTGCCTGCAAAGGCCTGGGAATGAGGAGGTGCAGGACAAATGGTTGGAGCTTGGGTCGCAGAGCAGGTAGAGAACTATGTTCAACAAGTCCATGGTGGGGAGGAGAGGGGGAGTGTGAATGTCATGGCTGATCTTGCACTCTGCAGTGGAGGGCTGTTGAAGGTTGTAATTGTGATTAACTCTGTAAAGCTGGGCAAGCTGGGTGGGTTCAAAGGTAGTTAGGAGACTATGGCAGTGGTTTAGGTGAGAGGTCCAACTCCTTGATCAACAGTGACCAGTGGTTGTCACTGACCATAGGAGGTGAAATTGAATTATTAAACCCAGACATAGGTAGTGAATGCTAGTTGGGGCAAGTGC